CACGCTGCTGACTCGTCAGTTCAAGGACAAAGCGGAGCGTCACCCACCAGCCCGCCACAACCACCCGACAAACCAGCCTATGATGTCCAGTATCCACCAGCAAACCGTATCTGGGATTGGCAGCAAAATCCCAATTTTGTTCCCAGCCCTCACCACTTTGATGACTCTCAAAGTGGAATTCTACCTACCTGTCCCCTTGGAACCACGGCCAATGAACTGGAATTCTTTGAATTATTCTTTGACCAGCCATTGATGGAAATTATTGTCAGGGAAAGTAATAAGTATTTTCAGTACACCATGGCAAATACGATCTTATCACCACAGTCAAGACTACACAGGTGGAAAGAGACGACTGTTGCAGAAATGTATTAGCTTTTTTGCAACAATAATGCTTATGGCTCACGTCTATAAGCATAATATAAAAGCATACTGGTCCACAGATTGGCTAATTTGTACCCCATCCTTCAGTGAAATAATACCAGTGAACAGTTTATCTTACTGTTACGTATGTTGCACTTCTCTGACAAAACCAGGCCTGACAGAAGTGACAGGTTATACAAGATTAGAAATGTTTTCATGTATCTCAAACAAAAATTCAGGATATACTTTTATCCATTCAAGAATCTTGTAATTGACGAGTCTTTGATTTTGTTCAAAGGTAGACTGTCATTCAAGCAGTATATACCGAGCAAGAGGAACCGCTTTGGTATAAAATTGTTTGTACTCTGTGATTGTGACAGTGGCCTGGTGTTGGATATTGTTGTATACACGGGTAGTAAAACATTGAAAGATACCAAGATGTTATTGGGTATATCAGGTGACGTAGTGAGAAACATGATGGCACCTTACACAAGCCCATTACTCAGTGATTTCATGCGAGTGAACAAGACAGATGTGTGTGGCACAGTGCGTTCTAATCGTAAACATATGCCCAGGCTCAACGCAGGTGTTCGTGGTGATGACGTGCAGGTGTTTACTGCCAATGACATCATGGCATTACGGTGGCATGACAAACGAGATGTCACATTGTTGACAACCATTCACCGTAATGAAATGCAAGACAGTGGCAAAGTTGATCGAGTGACTAATGAACGTATTCGAAAACCAGTGACAGTGATTGATTATACACAAAACATGCGCTTGGTTGACAAGTGTGACATGCAGATTGGTTTTGTTGACTGTGTTCGTAAGAGTTACAAGTGGTACATGAAACTTTTCTTCCATCTCATGGACATTTCAATGCTGAATGCATATAATATGTACCAAATAAAGACTGGTAACAGACCACCGTATGGTGAATTTTGTTTGTCTGTTGTCAGACAACTCATAATGAAGTACCAGGTAACAACACCTGCAATACAACATGGTCCTCGAATTCATCACAATATACCCAAGCGTTTGAGGAGAGAAGGTGATCATTTCATAATACAGCTTCCTTCAACTCAAAAGAAATTTGCTCAGAAGAGATGCATTGTCTGTGTACAAACAAAACGACGGCAACAAAGACGCAAAGACACTCGGTTTATGTGTGAGGAATGTAAGGTGCCTCTGTGCATGGTGCCTTGTTTCAAGGAGTTCCACAAGCTCCAGCAGTTCTAAAACCATGTCCAGTGATTGTAAATATGTAAATATATGATAGAACATTAGTATTATACAATATTTGTGCATGTTTATTGTAATAACAACAGTGGTAAACAATAATATGATAATAACTTTAGTGCGGTTATTGTGTTCAATACAGTGAGTATATATATATCAATTATATACAGTATTGGTCTCTCAGGCCCCAAATGTTAGTAGGAATAGAAAAAAATTGGAAAAGAAAAGAAAAAACAACTAAAACAACAAAATAATATAATACGCGTATGTGGAATTCGTCGATGTTGCCGCCACCACATCATTTTCTACAAACTTCTTGGCACTGTATCTCGGTAAGTACTGATCAGATTCTATATTTTTTGTTTTATTACCTTCACAAAATATGCTCTTTAATTCTGTAAGAAAAAATAATTTTTTTTTTTTTCAAAATTTCTTGGACACTGGTGCGTGACTTCAGATTTTGGCCTTGGACCCTGAAAGGATTAAAGGAGGCTTTATTATTATTTTAGCTCAACTGCCTATGGTGGCTTCCCGCTCTCTTTTTCTTGATCACTTCCACTCCCATTCTCATGCCACCGCTGTGTACACAGATGGCTCTAAGTCTTCAGACGGCGTCGGATTCGCAGCAGTGTTTCCGGACAGCGTCGTGCGGGGACATTTACTATCTTCAGCTAGCATTTTTACTGCTGAACTGTATGCCATTCTTGCAGCACTTATTCGTATCGCATCTATGCCTGTGTCATCATTTGTAGTAGTCTCAGACTCCCTTATGGCTCTACAGGCTATACGAAAATTTGATACATCTCATCCCCTAGTTCTCCGTATCCAACTTTGGCTATGCCGTATCTCTACCAAACATAAATCCCTGGTCATGTTGACGTACAGGGCAATGAACAGGCAGACACTGCTGCGCGGTCAGCAGTACATGACCTACCAGTTTCTTACAGAGGTATTCCATGTACGGACTATTTTGCTGTAATATCTTCCCACCTTCACACCCGTTGGCAACAACGTTGGTCTACTATGCTCGGCAACAAACTTCAGTCTATTAAACCGAGTATAGGTTACTGGCCGTCTTCTTATCACCAGTGTCGAGGTTGGGAGACTACTCTCTCCCGTCTTCGCATTGGCCATACTCGTCTTACTCATGGATATCTCATGGAGAGGCGCTTGCTCCTCTCTGTGAGAATTGCCAAGCTCCATTATCAGTCAGCCACATTCTGTTGGACTGCCCACTTTATCAACGAGCACGCAGAATTTACCTCTGTCGTCGTCTTCGCCCCGCTGCTCTCTCTTTACCTTCCCTTCTCGCTGATGGACCCACCTTTCATCCGGACTCTCTTATTGACTTTTTGACAACGACTGACTTACTTCACAAATTCTGATACTTTCAGCCCTTTCTACTTGTATCTCTTGCTACCCTCTACCCCCGTACTATCCCCTGCCCCGCTGTTTTCTGTAACCTGCTGATCATCCCCCCTCCCTCCTGCCATCCAATTCCCTTGCTTCCTTCCCTACCCTGCAGCGCTGTATAGCCCTTGTGGCTTAGCGCTTCTTTTGATTATAATAATAATACCAAACATAAAGATATTGTTTTTTGTTGGGTCCCTGGTCATGTCGACGTACAGGGCAATGAACAGGCAGACACTGCCCGCGCGTCAGCAGTACATGACCTACCAATTTCCTATCGAGGTGTTCCATTTCTGGACTATTTTGCTGCAATAGCTACCCACCTTCGCACCCGTTGGCAACAACGTTGGTCAACTCTGCTCGGTAACAAACTTCATTCTATTAAACCGAGCATAGGTTACTGGCCGTCTTCTTGTCATCAGTGCCGAGGTTGGGAGACCACTCTCTCCCGCCTTCGCATTGGTCACACTCGTCTTACTCATGGGTATCTCATGGAGAGGCACCCTGTTCCTCTCTGTGAGCAGTGTCAAGTTCCAGTATCGATTAGCCACATTCTGTTAGACTGCCCACTGTCAACGAGCACGCAGAATTTACCTCCAACGTCGTCTTCGTTCTACTACTCTCTCTTTACCTTCCCTTCTTGCTGATGGACCCTCCTTTAATCCTGACTCTCTCCTTGACTTCTTGACAACGACTGATTTACTCCACAAACTCTGATGATACTTTTCGCACTCCCCTCAGCCCTTTCTAGTTCAGTCTCTTGCTGCCCTTTACCCCTTCACCATCCACTGCCCCGCTGTTATCCGTAACCTATTACTCATCCATCTCCCTTTTGCCACCTGATGCCCTTGCTTCCTTCCTGCCCTGCAGCGCTGTATAGTCCTTGTGGCTTAGCGCTTCTTTTTGATTAATAATAAATTATTATTATTATTATTATATTTTCTTTTTTAATTTGATCCAGGTGCGTAGTTTGAACACCATGACAGTTCTTATATACAATACCAACAAGTACTGAACACTTGCTGCTAGGTTGAGGGACTGATTCCCTGAACTTTTACTTCATCAGACCTTTGTATTTATCCCTGTATTGTATTGATAAAACCACTGGTTGGCAAAATGTCTACAGAATAGAGATACCCTGTTGTTGCACATGTCTAATTCCTCCACTAGCAGTTTTTGCCATATTAGCCAGGTTGTGATGGTTATGTATGCCAGTAGGCTGCAACAATCTGGGTGAGTGACTTAAGTGCTTTACTAAGAGCCCCCTTTCATCAAAATTTTCCTGTGACTTGTTTCCTATAACTTGGAACAAATTATAGATACAGTTTTGACTACAGTTAATGGACTTGGAATTTTGCCTAACACCCAGAAATACTTACAGGTAATATTGGCTGTTTCCTACCAAGGTAGGGTGACTCAAAAATGTTAATTCACCATAATTAATTCAATAGCTGTATTACCAGAAGTGAGCATGCATCATAATTACAATAATCCTCCAAAAAATAACATGCTCACTCCTGCTTCAGTGTAGGCATTGTAATTTTCTCACCTCCAGGATTTAAGTCTGGCAAACCAGATAACTGGTAACATGAAAATGAATTACTCACTATTACAGGAGAATGTTATTGATACAGGTAGTAGCAAATTTTTAAAATACAGATGTAAATTCCTAATGAGGGTAAAGAAGTAATGAAATAGAGGTATTTTGTTAAAAATCACTGAATCCTTAAATGGTTACAGTGCTTTGTAACTCATACAGCATAACAAATAAAAAAAGAATAAATGGAAATGGTTTGGTGGGAGCAAGTGTATGGTCAATTTGCCTAGGTACAATTTACAATATGAACTTTTGCATTTACTTTTGAGATCTGTACTGTGTGTACACCTTCCCTATGATTATACAGTGTAATGCAGCCTTGATGTAATTTACATTTTTTAGCTGCTTTTCAGGGAATAACTTTATTTGATCATACACACTGGTATTTTTCTAGACCACACTGTGTTGCTGATTGCTTTATTGGTGGCTGGATTGGCATCTGTGTAATTTTGTTTGGGAGTTGCCACGATATTCCGTGACCATCGAAAAGAGAGGGAAAGGGAAAGAGTCCATGTCCGTTGCCAGCAACCTCGTTACAGTCACTACATGCCTTCAGAAAGGTAGAACTTGATTTACTGTACTATACAAAACTAATTTGGCTTGCATTCAATTTTAAGGCTTGTAAACTAAAAATCTTTATTATAGGATGGTATAATGGTGTTGATAAAATTATAACCTAAATTTCATGCTTTTAAGTTTGCTGATAACATGTGGATTCATTATGTTACCCATTTTAGATATTCATGTTTGTAAATTTAAACCTGCAGAACTTTAATTAATTTTTATGAATTTCAGTTTTTTCATACTTTAAAACTTGCACAGATTACCAATTACAATTAATTGGTAGGTGTTAATTTTTTTTCATTATGAAAACTATGAATTTGCTGGTTCTGTATAACTTGGGAGCATTTGGATTGTTATTTAGATCACTGTTTAATGATATTTAAGCAGATACAAATATATCAATTTAGAATTGTTATAAATCTGGCAATAATTTAAGATAGCATTTTTTTTAACCCTTCATGAAAAAAAGAGTGCTATAACTGGAACAAATTAACAATAGCGTATAGTAACCAATACAGTACCCTTAATTAAATCTCTCCACAAAGCCATAAGATTTTTGTGGATTATGAAGTTAAGTTTAAATTCTATAATTTTCCAAACAAAACTACGTGTTAAAGATGTGATGTACTGTGATGTAAAACATACACGAGATTCATCGCAATTTTTTATTTATAATGTATATGTACAATACGTTTTAATAGTTTACAAAGTTTTTAGGGTATTTTTTGAGAAGATATTGTTTCTGCATTTAAGGTCTAGTATATTGTTTTACCATTTTTTTTTTGTAAGAGAGAAGAGACTATAAACAAAATTGCCAGTATTAGAAAATAATTAAGAAATTTTCCTAGCACAGTCAACCCTAGCTTAATGAAAGTTCACATGCTGTAATTTTGAATAATGGGGAAAAACTAAATTTCTCCACTTATTTACCAGTTTTGCATTACTACCTCATTCTAGGGTGTCAACCATCAACAAATAGTGTATACACATTTAAATTCACTAGAAAAAATAGAGAAAAATAAAGAAGTGAACATATCTGTTGATCAACAGTAATATAATAATACATTCCTTGGCTAATTTGTATCAAACAAATTGGAACCCTCCAAGCTAGTAGTGTGGGTGCAGCAGCAACAGGAGTGGTGGTGCTGGTGCATTTGGCTTGCCTTCACCATGTCACATCCATATTAAACTCCTGACTGTTTTCGATTATGGCATACACAAGTTGGACAGATAAAATGTGAGGTAATTTTATTATATTCACAAAGAGCACTAAACTCTTAAATTGTGTGGTAGAGAATACACTTTGCATGTTTTGACATTTATGCTAGGGACAGTCAAGAGATAGTTTTGTTTTCCATCATGACTGCCTCGTCTCCCTCTTTCCCATACTTCCATCGTAATAAATAAGAATTACAGAAATTCATATGTGGGGCAGTGTTCCATTACTGTCATATCCATAAAAAGTGCTTCAACACAATAGTACTGTTAGGGAAATTGCTTATTCTCATGGTTTCATTAGGTGAAAGCCAGTCATGAAGGGGTGTTTGAAAGAGTATTGCCTGTAAAACTTGATGGCTCTTTAAATTTGCTGTCTTGTAGTCATAGCTGCTAATGAAGACTTGTATCTGTAACTAATATTAATACTCTGGAGCAAAGATGAGAGAGATGATACTGCAATATGTACCTGGAAGATATGGAAGGGCCAGGTCCTAATTCTACACACTACCATCACTTACTGGAGGGACATGGAAGGAAGTGTAAAATAAATCTAGTGCAAAGTAGAGGCACCATATACACATTAAGAGAAACTTTCAATATCTATGGCTCAAGTCGATTAAGCCTGCTACCATCAGATATTGGAAATATTGCCAGAACAAATGTAGAAGCCTTTAAAAGGAAACTGGATCAATCAGGCTGTAGTAGTTGTAGGCCAACTATGAGCTTTTTTTTGAATAGGTATTTGACAAGGAAATTTTACCAAAGGTTGGGCGAGTAGGGTAGAAAAAAAAACTAAATCAGTCACACATCACAGTAAATGCTAGGGAGAGAGATTACCAGCAGAAGTTACTGGCAGACTGCTTAGCCATCCTCCCATTGACCATCATAACATACAATTTGCAGACAATTCAGATGTGTAGTAGTGTCATTACATTTATAAAAAGGTGCTAAACTTTCAGAATAAAACTGCTTGATTACAAAGTTGTGCTATGGCTGAAATCAGAGACTGTAGTGTTCACTTCCTAGCTGGGAAAGATAAGAGGATATAGGAGAGAAGAGAAAAAAAAAAGGCATGGGAGGAAGGGAAGACAATCTCTTGAGTACAGAGCATAATTACAAATCTCACCCTTTCCCCTTTCCAAAAAATAATAGCAATTAGATATGGATTATTATTATAATAAAAAAGAAGCGCTAAGCCACAAGGGCTGTACATTATTATTATAATCAAAAAGAAGCGCTAAGCCACAAGGGCTATACAGCGCTGCAAGGGGCTGTACAGCAATTAGATATGGAACATTGTTGTCTTGGTTGGCATCTTGGGTTATAACATGGGTGGGAACATGTGAATCTCCTAATGTATTTTTTGCTTATGGAACATTTTGTCTTGTCATCATCTAGGTCATTAGGCAAGGGTTGACTTTAATTTGTGAATATATAATTTACAGTTAAGAAGTGAATGATGGAGAAAGAATTTCTTTTACTGGGTTGTCCTGGTAGAACACAGTTGACATACTAAAAAAGAAGTATTTTATTATAGCAAATTATTTAAAGCCAATAATTGGTATTTACTATTAATATTTCTTAGTGTTTGTACTTATGCATTATAAAATGGTGTGCATGACTTTTATGCTTTAGGTTATTGAGGAGACTACCAGTAATTAGATGTACAAGTATTTTTAATATTTAGTTGTGCAATACACAGAATTAGGACACTGGCAGAATTTGAATATACAGTATTATCATGGTCTGTTTCTTCTCTACATAACATGTACCACTACTTCATAAAGATATCTGTGGAATGATTTTATTTTATCTAACCTCAGTCTGCTTTACAAGATACATTAAAATATTAGTAATAAGAAATATATACTGCACTGGCATTTCAGCTTCTTATTCACCTTCATGTGTTAATACTTTATCATTGCCTTATGAATACCTGTACTGTAAGAATTAGGTATGCAAAGGAAATCACTTCAATTAGGCTATGTATTTATGATTTGAAGTTTGTGTCCCATATTATACAGTGGCCCCTTGACTTACAAAGATCTTGACTTGGGATAAGTTTGAGTTACTATTTTTTTTTAACATGTCGGCCATTTCCTATCGAGGCACAAAGAAAAAAAGAAAAACTTTAATCATTATTCAACACTTTCACCATCTCTCATACATAATCACTGTCTTTGCAGAGGTGCTCAGATACGACAGTCTAGACATACCTCCAAACTGCTTTTTTGATTTAAAAGACCTAAACTTGAATAAGTTATCTAGAGGCCCCAGTGTGTGCAGCTAGGGGAATAGTTCCGAGTTATTGGAAATTTAATTTAGGAAGGAATCTACTGAAATTCTTTAGATTAAAATAGATATGAATCTATGATTTGCACCACAGATTTCTGAGCACTGACAACAAAATAATCGTGGTCGATTTACTAGGAACCTAAACACCTCATTTAACCCTTAAACTGTCCAAACGTAGATTTATGTTCACCTGCGTAATGCTCCAAACATAGATCTACATTTTTTTTACATGCTTTCAAATGAGGAAAATAAAGGTCGGAGTGCTATGCACGTAAACGTAGATCTACATTTGGACAGTTTAAGGGTTAAAGTGCAGGCATTGTACTTCCTATTTCCATGACTTGAGTCCGGCTAACTGGTTTCCATGAATCCCTTCACAAAATATTACCCCGCTCACACTAACATATCATCAGGTCCCCAAAACCATTCGTCTCCATTCACTCTTATCTAACACGCTCATGCACATTTGCTGGAAGTCCAAGCACCTTGCCCACAAAACGTCCTTTACCCCCTCCCTCCAACCTTTTCGGGGACGACCCCTACCCCACCTTCCTTCCCCAACAAGTCATTCTACTTTGTTCCATTCTCTCTAAATGACCGAACCACCTCAACAGCCCTCTGACTAATACTTTTAGTAACTCCACACCTGCTCCTAATTTCCACACTACGAATTCTCTGCATAATATTTACACCGCACATTACCCTAAGACACGACATCTCCACTGCCTCTAGCCGCCACCTTGTTGCAGCATTTACAGCCTGTGCTTCACACCAACGTAAGTGTGTTGGTACCACTATACAGTGGACCCCTGGTTAACGATATTTTTTCACTCCAGAAGTATGTTCAGGTGCCAGTACTGACCGAATTTGTTCCCATAAGGAATATTGTGAAGTAGATTAGTCCATTTCAGACCTCCAAACATACACGTACTAACGCACTTACATAAATACACATACATAATTGGTCGCATTCGGAGGCGATCGTTATGCGGGGGGTCCACTGTACTCTCGTACATTCCCTTCTTTGCCCTCATGGATAATGTTGTCTCCACAGATACCTCAATGCACCACTCGCCTTTTTTCCTTCATCAATGCTATGGTTTACCTCATCCTTCATAAACCCATCCACTGACAAGTCAACTCCCAAATATCTGAAAACATTCACTTCCATACTCCCTCCCTCCAATGTAATATCAAATTTTTCTTTATCTAAGTTGTTTGATACCCTCATCACCTTGCTCTTATCTATATTCAATTTCAACTTTCTACTTTTACACACCCTCCCAAACTCATCCACTAACCTTTGCAACTTTTCTGTAGAATCCCCCAAAAGCACGGTATCATCAGCAAAAAGTAACTGTGCCAACTCCCATTTTGTATTTGATTCCCCATAATTTAATCCCACCTCTCTCCCCAACACCCTAACATTTACTGTTTACCTTTCATAAAGGAATTTAGTTTTTGAGTTTCAAAGAAAATGTTGAGATAAGATACAGGTACAATGGTCAGCATGAGTGGGTGTACCTCAGCCAACCAGCAATGTAGTAGCTTGCCTCTTGGGCAGTGTCTGGCCCAATAGGAGCTTCAGTTGGGTGGTTTAGCAGCCAGTCAGTGATGGGAATGAATGTGTCTCAGCTAATAGCAGTATTTATGCAACAGTTTGTTTCCTCTTCAGTTTGAAGGTATCATGTGTGTTGCTTGCACCAACTCTGGATGATTTACCCTTCATAACTGCATTTATGATTTAAATATGAAATCTTTTGCATTACCAAGTCATTGTGGCCTCTAAAGCATATAGTAAACAGGCAATTTCTTTGAAGATCAGGCAAGATTTATTATTATTATTATAATCAAGGGGGAAGCGCTAAACCCGTAGGATTATACAGCGCCCAGGGGGGGATGTGGAAGGCATTCAGGCTTAATTCGGGGAACTGGAGCACAGATTCAATTCCCTAAATCAAGAGCCCCTCACCAACATCAAGGAACCTTCCATGAGGGGAAGATCAGGCAAGAAATTGTGAAAAAGCACTTGAGTTAGGAATAAGTGAATTGGTGTGTGAGTACAACTTTCCTCAATCACTCATCTCTATTATCAAGCAAAAAGAAATTGAAGAATATCAAGGTGGTTGATGAATCAAGGCTAGTGAAAAAAGGCAGATAAATTATCATGGAGATGGAAAGACTGTAGCTATAGTGGATTAGATAGAAGCAGATAAAGGGGGAGAGTGCCTGCATGTCATAGCTGTGCACCCAAGGTACAGTAAAAGTCACACTTCCAGGGTCTTGGAACGAATTACGTACCATAAAACCATGTATTTTGGGGTTTGAGTCAAGATAATTTTGAGGTACAATATATCTTCTGGAACAGATTAATATCATAACTCAAAGGACCACTGCATAATCTTGCATGATTGATATAAAAACTTCACTTTGCCACTTACCATTAAGTACAGAATTTTGACATAAAACATACACAAATGAATGCATGTATAAACATTACAACATTTACATTGTACATCATAATGTATTGCTTCATTGCTACATTGTAAATGAAGGAATATTTATTCCTAGAATAACTCTAATCTGGAACATGTTCGTACAGCATAACATCAACAAAATGAAGTCAGTTGACCAAATGAAATCACTGGCCCACAGATGGCTCCAACTTCATCCTGTTCCATATTTGTATGTATCTTGATATAAAAAGGCTTTCAAATGAGTTACTTTACTTTTTATTGCTAAAGAAACCAGTTTGATTCCCAAAGAATGAAAACTGATTGTACCATTCTACCTGGGTGCTAACCCCCCCCCCCCAATGATTATGCAATCTGTCCACTAAAATTATTTACAATCCTAATTAAGGGAAGCGATACTTGTACAGGTCTCCCTCAACATTCGTGTTTTCCACTTTCGCGGTCTTCGAACATTCGTGAATTTCCAGCTGCCCAATCATATTTAAAATATGTCATTAAATATGTTAAGAATTGTGGCAGTGGCAGAGTTTGTTTGGAGACAGAACAAGATAGTCCTTCAATATGACGCTAATATCAACTCTACGGCTTATTTATCTATCACAATTCATCTAATATGACATAATAAACAATATTAATAACATAGAAACATGACATATGCTCTAGAATGAATAACATAGGTCATTAACCCTTTGACTGTTTCCGACATATAAATACGTCTTACGAGCCAATGTTTCTGACGTATTTATACGCACAAATTCTAGCGGCTTCAAATCAAGCGGGAAAGGCCTGGTAGGCCTACATGAGAGAGAATGGGTCTCAGTGGTCGGTGTGCACCCTGTGAAAAAAATCTGGGACCCAGCGGTGCATTGTGGGAACGCCATGTTGTTAGTTCATTTTCACCATGCCTCTCGGTAAGAAGTTCCTCACTCCTCGGCGGATTGGAGGTCTTTTGTTCCCAAGTGATAGCTCTAACAGCGATGAAAATGTCAGTGACAGTGAATTCCAGGGTTTTGAAGTGAGTGTTACCGGAAAAGTGCCCAGGATAACGTAATTAGTGATGAAAACCCAGATGACCCACAACCTTCCACCTCTGGTGCTGGGGCCGGCTTGTTCACGTTCACGTTCGCCTGTACCAGGACGAAAGAGGAAACTATTTGGTCGTGTACAACACCCAGATGTTAGCAGTGATAGTGATTTCAAGGTCATTGAAAGCAGTTCTAGTGACAGTGAGAGTGAATATTCCCCAGTGAAGCGGCAGTATGTATGACGTAGCATGAGGTCTGGTAGTGTTTCATATGTTGTTCCAAGGGGAAGGAGAAACTCTGGGAGCACATCCCGTGGCCCTACACCACGACCTGATAGTGAAGATGACGATATTGTAACGATGGGTATGAATGATGTGAGTGATGGAGCAGGCAGTGGTGGTGATAGTGAGGGTGGCACGGCCCATGTGGCACCATCAGCGGACCACGCTACTACCCACGCTGCTGACTCTGCACAACAACCAGCCTCGCCCTACCCCACACTCCCACAACCACAACACGGTACAATGTCCAGACCCCACCAGCAGACCGCATCCGGGATTGGCAGGACGGTGACGAGTTTGTTCCCAGTCCCCATAACTTTGATGAAACACAAAGTGGAATAAAGCCATCTTGTCCACTTGGGAACAATGCCAGTGAACTGGACTGCTTTGAGTTATTCTTCGATGAACCCCTGATGGACATCATTGTCAGGGAAACAAACACATACTGTGATTACACCATGGCAAATACAATTCTCTCACCAAAATCAAGGCTACACAAGTGGAAGGAGACAACTGTTGCAGAGATGTACCTGTTTTTTGCCACAATAATGCTTATGCCACATGTGTATAAGCACACTGTCACCACATACTGGGCAACAGAACGTCTGATTTCAACTCCAGGTTTTAGTGACATTATAGGTGTCAATCGTTTCCTGATACTGTTATGTATGTTACACTTTTCAGACAAAACCAGGCCTGACAGAAGCGACAGGTTATATAAGATCAGAAATGTGTTTATGTACCTGAAACAAAAGTGCTGCATGTATTTTTATCCCTTCAGGAAGCTTGTTATTGATGAGTCCTTGATTTTATTCAAAGGAAGACTCTCATTCAAGCAATATATACCAAGCAAGAGGAAACGCTTTGGTATAAAGCTATTTGTACTGTGTGATTGCAGAAGTGGTCTAGTTTTGGATATCATTGTGTACACTGGCAGACAAATAATTGCAAAGTACCAAGGAGCAACTCCTGCAATAGACCAGCGCCCACACACGTCATCTCGTTTCAGGCCTGGTGATCACTACCCCATACAACTGCCAAGAAAAATGCTCAGAAGAGGTGTTATGTATGTACACATACCACAAACACGCAGAGACACTCGTTTTATGTGTGAGGAGTGTGAAGTGCCCCTCTACATATACCCATGTTTCAAAGAGTTCCACAAGCTGCAGCAGTTCTAGGAACGTGTTTAGTGACTGTACATATGTATATATATTATGGAACAATAGTAATAAACATTGTTTTGTATTGTTTGTTTGTGTAAACAAAGTGTATACACAAACTAATAGTGATAAAGTTTGTTCTGTTATTGTGTTGTAAATAATGAGTGTATATTTGAACAATGCACCTTACATTGGTCTCACAGGCCACATAAGTTACCTGGAACAGAAAAATATTGAAAAATGCAAGAAACCTTTGAATTAGAGTAAATAAAAGAATACCGGGTGGGCGGCAGTCGCCGCTGTTGCCGTACGCACGTCACTTTTTGCAAACTTTGCGGCTCTATATCTTGGTAAGTACTGATGGCAAAAAATTTTTTTTAGGCTTAAAACACTCGCAAAAATATTCCTAACATTTTCATAAGAAATAATTTTTTTTTTTTCGAATATTTGGCGACATAGAATGACAGTTTCAGAGAGGGGCTTGAAACAGTCAAAGGGTTAAGTATGTCGCGAGTGTTGCTGTGTTGTTGTTGTATAAGGGCCACTGAGACATAAGCCGTACGTAGTGGTGGTGGAGGCGGCAGCAGCGGTAGAGACTATAGACGGCAGTGTTGTTAGTCACCTTATATAACTCCAACAAAATTGGAGGAGTTAGGTTCATGCTGTCCTTTTTCTATCGATTAATCGCTTAACTTACTTGCTACACAGTTAATTCTACACTTTATCGCTGGCTGGCGCTATAGCCTTTATCGACTTGTGCTGCTTTAGTATTGTACATATCGTAGAATCACAGAATCACTGAAGAAGGTACATTCTCCCCTCTCTCTTCCTCCTCCACTTTGGTACTCTGCTATGAGTTCTTTCTTGAATTCTATAGTTTTTTTTTCACCTTTACCAAAGGGGTGGTACTAGTACAATATTTTACGAAGTTTTCATGTATTTTATGATTGTTCATGGTTCAATAGGTTAAGGAAGCAGTATTGTATTATATTTCCCTACAATATATTGGGGCACCAAACATTCGCAATTTTTCAACATTCGTGACATTCTTTACCCTCTAACCCTCGCGAATGTTGAAGACCTGTATACATTTTCTTCCTTTTGTGAGCAATTTAGAGTACAGATTTCCCTCCACATTCACAAGGGTTGAAAAATCGTGAATGTTTGGTGCCCAATATGTATTGTAGGGAAATATAATAATAGCATATACTTAGCCTAACAACACTGCTTCCTTAACCTACTGAACCATGAACAATCATAAAACACACGAAAACATCGTAAAATATTGTATGGTAAAGGTGAAAAAACTATAGATCAAGAAAGAACTCGTAGAAGAGTACCAAAGTGGACGAGGAAGAGAGAGGGGAAAATGTGCCTTCAGCGATTCTACAATATGTATGATACTAAAGCAGCATGAGTCGATAAAGGTTATAGCGCCAGCCAGTGATAAAGTGTAGCATTAACAGCGTAGCAAGTAAGTTTAGCGATTAATTGATAGAAAAAGTACAGCATGAAACTAACTCCTCCAATGTTGTTGGAGTTATATAGGGTGACTGACAACACTGCCGTCTCTACCGCCTCCACCACCACTATGTAAGGCTTATGTCTCAGTGGCCCTAATACAACCAACACAATAACACTTGTGACATACTTAATGATGTATTTTACTCATTCTAGAATATATGTCATGTTTCCATGTTATTAATATTGTTTATTATGTCATATTTGATGAATTGTGATAGATAAATAAGCCGTAGAGTTGATATTAGTGTCATATTGAAGGACTATTTTGTCCTATCTCCAAACACACACTGCCACCGCCACAATTCCTAACATACATAATGACATATTTGAAATATGATTGGGTGGCTGGGAATTCGCTAATGTTTGAAGCCTGCGAAAGTGGAAAATGCGAATGTTGAGGGAGACCTGTATAGCCTAATTCTGAAATACACACATTTCTTACTGTATTTAATACCTCCCTGGAATGTTTGATATTGGCCTCAATGCCCACACCTACTTTTAAAATGTATGTTGTAATTCTGAGTAATTTTCCTTACAACAGTAAATAAAAAATATAGTAAAAGTTTCAAGAATTCAATTAAAATAAAACCTTTATGCATAAATAATCCTGAAAGCTATAACACTACACGGAGGGTGAAAGCTCTTATTTAATGTATGTAGTGTAGTAACTTCCAAAGATATTGTATACAGTAATACCCCGGTTTTCGTCGTTAATCCGTTCCAGAAGGTCGGCTGAAATCCGAAATGGATGAAAACTGAAGTAATATTTCCCATAAGAAATAATGCACAGTGGACCCTCGACTAATGGTGACATCAAGTAACGGCAAATTCGTCTAACGGCGCTCTTTGGCATAAAAAAAATGGCTCTACCAACGGCAAAAAACTCATCTAACGATGTTCGTCCCGAACTTGTCCATGGGGCCGGAGCACGGCCTGAGCAGGCCCAGCCACTCCAAGACTCCATGTACAGCCAGTGTTTACAAGCCGTTTTGGTCGTTTCCAAGTGTACCTACGATATATTTTGTATTCCAGTATTTTTAGTACTTGTAACTGCTAAATAAGCCCAAAGAAAGTTTCTAGTGCCACCCCTGTGATAAAGAAGAAAGAAACACAATAAAATTCAAGAAAAAACTCGTAGCAAAGTACCAAAGTGGGGGAGGAAGAGAGAGGGGAGAATGTACCTTCTGCTGATTCACTGATTCTACGATATGTACGATACTAAAGCAGCAGGTATCGATAAAGGCTATAGTGCCAGCCAGCGATAAAGTGTAGAATTAACAGTGTAGCAAGTAAGTTAAGCGAGTAAGCAATAGAAAAACGACAGGAAAGTAACTCTCCAATGTTCTTGTTGGTGAGGGGCTCTTGATTTAGGGAATTGGATCTGTGCTCCAGTTCCCCGAATTAAGTCTGAATGCCTTCCACATCCCCCCCCCCAGGCGCTGTATAATCCTCAGGGTTTAGCGCTTCCCCCTTGATTATAATAATAATCTCCAATGTTCTTGGATGTGTGTACATCCGCTGAACTTACACCAGCCTGCTATCTTCCACTATCCTAAACCTCTGCCAGCATCTCCTCTATCAAACTAACATCTCCAAGGTAAGTGTAAATATAAAAGTGTAAGCATAAAAGTAAATATATTAAGTGTAAATATAAAAGGACCCCAATGGAAATATGCAAGTCACACTGACTTTTTTGGGTTATCCTAGGTACTTTACACATATGCTGCTATGTATGATAATCTATGTAACTGTATTTGTGTATACCTGAATAAACTTATTTATAAATTAAAATGTAAATATTTCTTATTTATAAATTACATACATTGTTTAAGTGTGATGGTGGTGCTGGCAAAATCCTCCACTGCCACCAACACGGCTTCTCTCAGTGGCGGCCTTTAAACTCAACAACAACACTTACACCATTTACTCCTCTCATACATTATGAAATATTTTATTCATTCTAGAGTATATATCATGTTTCTGTTATTAATGTTGTTTATAATGTCATATTAGATGAATTGTGATAGATAAATAAGCCGTTGAGATGATATTAGCGTCATATTGAAGCATAATAAACTTGTCTTCCTCTTGCCTCTTACGTGTCTGTCATACACCAACAAGTCGAGTCGGTAAAGATAAATCAATAAAGGTAAGTGTGATGTTATATGTTCATTTATCTATTTTATTTGTGCTTTATATTTATTTGTCATTGTTTTCTGTATGTATATTTATATTAAATCTTTAAAAAAAATATTTTTTGTTAATACTTTTGGCTGTCTGAAACAGATTAATTGGATTTCCATTATTTCTTATGGGGAAAATTAATTTGACTAATGGCTAGCTCTCTGGAACAGATTAATGCCGTTGGTTGAGGGTCCACTGTAAGTCCAATTAATCCGTTCCAGACACCCTAAAATATTAACAAAAATACATTTTATAGAGAATAACTATAGTTTTATATACAGAAAACAATGAGAAATAAATATAAATGACTAATTTTAATAATTGAACATTACATACCTTTATTGAAGACTCTTGTTGGCATATGGAAGAAGGCCTTACCACACTGTATGTCACTTCACTTCTTGAATCTGTTGAACCAGTCTTTGCTGGCCTTAACCCCTAAACGGTCCAAACATACATGTATATATAAGTTCTCTTGCCCAGTGCCCTGAACATTTTTCTAAGTGTTGTAGGATTAAAATAAAAAAAATTAGGGTCAGTACCTACAGGTATGAGACTGTGAAGTTGGCACTTAATGCTCACCTGATGGCAACATCGAGTCCTCCTGCTTGCAGTAGTGTTGTCGATATACCTTTTGTTCTCATTTTTATATTTTATATAATTTTTATGTTCTGATAATTACAATTTATAGTAGTTCTTGTCATTTCATAACCAATCTTTGTTCTGACACTAATATTAGGTACTGCAATTATACTCAAATTGTCACAAGCACACTGACAGGTAGACATTTATACCTGCCTTGGTCATTTACTACTGTCTAGGAATATATACAAAGTATTTATAGGTCCCAGCAATGTTTTGGATATGTGGGAGTATACAATAATAATAATAAGTTCCCTCGAAGCATGATGTAAGCCAAATGTCAGTCCACTGCTGATAGTGCAGTGATAAGATAAGTGGTGACATTTGATGAGCATCAACGCTTTATTTGTTTTCACTGTTACACATAAACATGTCTGTCTGTCTCTGCTTGTCTCTCTGTCTCAGAGAGAACCACTGTGAACCAACAGGTATTCTTAAGCATTATATCTACAAGCACAGTATAGCACTTCGTCTGGATTTTTTGGGTTACCCTAGGTAATTTACACTATTTACATATAATTGTATTTGTGTACCTGTGAGACAGATAGAAATAGGTAGAAACAGAGAGAGAGACAGAAAGACAGAGACAGACAGAGATAGAGCCAGCCAGGCAGCCACCCAGCCAGCCTGCCAAGCACTTATTACACGTTCCAGAATTGTTTCTCTTTACTTAGGGCATAAGTTATAAGACATTCTCAAAGGGTGTTACACAAATGTTGCACACGGGTTATTATTGAGGTTTTTGAAATTTCCTCGACCACTTGTGGCCACATCCACCTGAAAGCCACTAAACTTGGGATCAACATCACATGACATCAGTGAATCCTTGGTGTTTGCTGTGCTGTTTTCTCTAGCTGGCGCTCTATTTAACTGGTGCTCCCACAAGGTACTAAGTGGTCCCAGATTGTTTTAATACTGTGCACACCAAGTGTTTAGACCCAGTCTATGCTGACCAGGCATCTCAGGCCAATCGTGCCAAATTTGGAGGTAGGAAAAATAAAACGTATATATACATTTGGGGCACTAGTGGTAAGAATGTATATGTACGTGTGGACCGTTTAGGGGTTAAATTCACCCCCACCACCACTTGTTCCAAGCATTTTCTTTACAAGATCCATATCCAACTGACTTGCCTTTTCACAAATTATCCCCTCCACAACACTATCTCCTGCTGTTTTTTCATTGATCCACACCAACAACAACAACTCCACATCCTCAATTGTTTGTGATCTCTGTTTTGTTATATTTACCCCTTTCCCAACATCACCTTCTTTGCCAGGATGGAACTGACTGTTGATGTCAACTTCCCATACATCCTGGCAAAATTGGCCACACGTATGCCACTTTCATATTTTGCTACAAGTTCTTTCTTTAACCCTGTCAGGGTCCATGCCATAGATCTACGGCTTTACGTTGAGGGTCCAAACCATAGATCTACGCCATGAGGTCAGCTCACTCTGATAAGCTGTGAGCGGTAAATTTGGGCCTAGATATGAGAGAATACATCTATGTAGTATGTGTGCACCACATAAAACAAATCCTGCAGCACAGTGCATAATGAGAGAAAAAACGAGACCATAATTTTCTATTAAAACAGCGATTTTGCATTTTTTTTGTATGTTTTTTATAGTTGCATTTGCGATTTCTTGGTCTCATTTGATAGAACTGAAGATATATTACAGAAATAGAGATGATTTTGATTGGTTTTAGTACTAGAAATGGCTTGAAAATGAGCTCAAAGTAGCAGAAATGTTAAATTTTTGCCAATGTTCAAGAGTAAACAAATGACCTCACACGTCTAATACATGCCAGCTGGTGGGTCTAATATACGTTCACAAATGTGTTAATATTATTTATACAATTATTACAATATTGCATAACAGTAAATCTTCTATTTTTTGGTTTGAATAAAAATTCACTATGTGAATAAAAAATAAAAATGGAATTCATTTGTAAAGCCTGAAAACATAACTAATGAACAGAGGAAATGTTAGTTTAGTGCCAGGAATGCCTGCATTGTTTATTCTGGACCTATTTTGAAATTGGAATATTTTGAACTTTGTGTTAAATTGGCCAAATTACCAATTTCCGATCACTTTATTTTGTAGTTGAAACAGTTGACTGGGCGATTTCTTGTGCTCAGTCGATAGAATAGATGTAATACTAGTGAAATAGCTAAGAATTTGGTCCACTGCAATAATGTAACAGGCCTAAAATGGGAGTCAAAGTCGGCAAAATCGCTGATGTGTAAATATTGCTGACACATCAATATTCGTGAGAGCAAAAGTTTGTAAATTTTCCATCAATTTTCAAACTTTTTGTTTTATTACCTCCAGAAAGATTCTCTACTATTTCATAAGAAAAAAATAATTTTTTTTTTTTTTTAAATTCTTGGACACTGGTGCACACTTTGAAATTTCTCCTCTGGTCCCTGAAAGGGTTAATTCTATCATATTTCTCACCCTTACCAAAGGGCTGGCACTCTGAACTTTCTTTGGCCCTATGGTGGCTTATTTCACAGTCACAATCAATAAACAAGCACAAAAAACAATGGATGAACGCGCGGAGTATTGCTAACGTAACGAGAGACAGAGGCAGACTGAGTCTGGTACGCATGAGAAGCAGCGTCCCGGGTGGGTGGATATGTCTGATATGGACAATTTCTGAGTAGATGTACGAAACCTGGGGAAAAATTTTGCCGAAAAAAGTGCTCGAAATCCAAATTGTACGATTTCCGCACTGGACGAAAACCGGGGGTCCACTGTACCAAATTTTAATTTTCAACAATAATTATTTTACCTTATTATATTTACCAATAACTACCTTGTATTTTACTCTAATTATATTTACCATTTTTTTAAATCTTTTAGCAAAAAAAAAAAAAAAAATTAAAGTAAAATACTACAAAATAATTAAAAGTTCTTTAAATTTTATCTTGCCTTCAAGCACAAAAAAATATCAATTTAAATGTAAATTAAGATTTAATAACTACTGTATATGGAAAGGGAGTCTAACAAGCATGAAGGCATCTAAAGGATATGAATCAGCACTGTATGACCCTTTCGAGATTAGCACTTTAATGATAATGTAAACAAAGGATACACAAATACATCAAACATTAAAAATAGCAACACTAAATATAAAAAAAGTGCTATACTTATGAGTATTATTAATCTCCCAAAAAGGAGTGCATTTTTCATATTGTGGAAAACTAACCATAATTCATTTTGTCATTTTTCGAGTGTTTAAATAAGAAATTGCTAGCAATTCAAGTACAGTATTCTTTATCTATACAAATAATTTGTAACTATGTATAAACTATTGAAACATTAACAGTACAAGAATGTTACTGAAATCTCTTATAATTAACACAACTGTGCTTTTATCTTTGCATGTAAAATCATTGTAACTAAAAAAAAATTGTAGATATGAAATACACATACTGTACCTCTGAAAGGTTGATGACCTTAACCTTACCCTAGTAATCCAGTTATGTCAGTGTAAAGACAGAAAAGCACTACATAGGTCCATACAGATCCAGGTCTAGATCATCATCCGAGTCGAGATCATCATCTAGATCTTCACTCCAGAAGACAACTTCCTGAGAAAAATCTCCGAGGCTTCTTTCTGATACCATTCTAGGATGATGCTCAATCCTGAGAATAAATGAACTGCTTAAATTATTTTTAATTTTTAGACATAGCTAATTTTCAATGAACATCACTCGGTAAACAAACAAAATTTCACCAATGATATTATGCAACTATAAGCCATCTTTATGCCTTGAACACTTATGATTCAAATTTATACAGTATGTCTATCTTTGACTATAAAATGCAAACAGCCACTACTCGAGCAACATGCCCTCCAAATCTCTTAACTGGATGCAGTATGCATTCAAGATATATTGTCTGCAATCATAAGTTCCATCATTTTTATTATATATTGTATACCTACTAAATTTACCTTACATTGGTATTTTGCATGCAGACTATATGTAAATGATTAAGTTCGCATTTTCATTTTATGAGTATCGCAATACAGTACACATGTTGGAAATTAATCGTGTTTCATGACCAATATATTTGTGATTATAATGAGCAGATCTAGCAGGCGATAAATGGTTACATACTGTACTTTGTCATTTAAGATCTCTCAAGAGAGGCTCACTGACTGGTGAGGGGCGTTTGATCCGAGTAATTGAACCTGTTATCTCCTTGGATTGAGGCTTTTGGGTTTAGCACTTCATTTATTTTATTATTATTGGACCGAATCTAAGTGCCTCCCATTTCCCAAGGTGTTCTATGGCCCCCAAGAAGTGTAGCTCTCTCCTAATTGCTGCAAAGCAAAAGCAACTGGCTTTTACTGAACTGTACATTATAGACTTGTTAAAGTATAATTAAGAAAATAGAGGAATAGAAGGGACAATTTGGGCCAACACGAATAGCTGAACATTGTAATGTGATGCACAAATAACCTGCACATAGGAGAATCAAACTTGTGACATTTTGGTCTGACTTGGACCATTAACCCGTAAACGGTCCAAACGTATACATACACGTTTTTTCAACATTTGAAAGTATGTAAAAGAAGTAGATTTTCAAATGTAAAAAAAAAAAAAAAAAAAAAGAACTTTGATCTACTTTTTTTTTTGTTTGAAAATATTTAAATAAAAATGTAATCTACTTTTGGAGCGCTACGCATGTGAACGTAGATCTGCTTGGACCGTTTATGGGTTAACTATAGTTACACAAGTAGGAAAGGGAGCCAGTATATATACAATAAGGGGGCAGGGACAGGAGTAGAATGAGTGGGTAGTAGTATAATGTTAGAGGCAGTGACAGTAGTTTGGAATATGTAAAAAATATTCATAAGGAAACTGTAAAATGGCTGCACTTGGAAGAACTAAAAGCCTTAATAACAGATGAAAGATGATGCATAAGCACTTCAGTATAAAATATGATAAACTTAGTAAGATTATTTGCAACATTAAGAGGAATCGGTGATTGTACAGGAATATGGTAATTCAGATTTATTTAAAGACATGGCACAAGTATGCATACAAAAACCAAAATTGGAAATGGGTGGAGCGCCAGGAAAATGGTGGTTGGCAAGCTACAGAGGTGACTGAGACTGACGTGAGTCATCAAAACTAGAGGGTCCACAATGCCCTGTGAGAGAGAGTGAATATGAATGTGCAATGTACAGACCTCAGTGGCAACATGAAGACCCCATCAACTTCCCTTCTGCTCCAACACAACTGTCAACTTATCATAATTGTTGGTGACCTTAACCAACATCTTATACGGAGAGACTTTGCGACCTTGCAGTGTTTGACGTAAGAAACTTCATTGATTTCCCTACTTACATCTCTGGCTCCTCCCTTGACCCAGTAGAGAGTGATCTGGCAGAAGGTATAGTCACTTGTCAACCTCTCGGCTATGTTAAAGAGGTAATTGGCCAGCCCTTTGCTCTGAGCTCGCCGCCACCGACTGGAGTGCTCTTCTCCAAGGGGATGTTGACAACCAAGTGAATGCCTTCACTGACACATCCTTAATCTACAAGAACACATCCCTCACCGGCAGTATGTAACAAAGCCTACAGATCAGCCTTGGTTTGGCTTGTGTTGTCGAGAGGCTGCTACTGCTAAGTACAAAGCATGGTGGAGGTATAAGAGACATCCTACTACCTATAACAGGAACTTGCACAGGCAAACCTGTAGGCATATGGGAGAGTTCAAAAGTGGGCCATCTCTAAATGGGAGGTGGACACACAAAGAAAGCTAGCATCAGGTAGAGTGGGCTCCAAAACCCTGGTGGTTCCTGGTCAAGGACAGACAAGGTTATCTACCTGATGAACTTATTTCACCTCTAAATCGACAGGATGGGACCACCATTACTAGTAGTCAAGAGCAAGCGGACATCTTGCCGAACACTTTGCTACCAAAATGGAAGTTCCTGATCCAGCAAGGGATCCTCCTTGGCTAGCTGCAAGAACTGTGTCAAAATTGTCAGTGGGGACAATAAGGTAGGAGGAGGTGCATCATCATAAACTGCTTGACCAAGTAAAGGCTGTGGGCCCAAGATTGCCGAGATGTGCAGACCAGCTAACAGCACCTCTAACTCACATCTTTCAGCACTGTCTAGTACGTTAGGTAAGACACATATGCAACAGTTAGGTATCTTTATTTCGAAACGTTTCGCCTACACAGTAGGCTTCTTCAGTCGAGTACAGAAAAGTTGATAGAAGCAGAAGAGACTCGAAGACGATGTAATCAGTCCATCACCCTAAAAGTTTTGAGGTGGTCAGTCCCTCAGTCTGGAGAAGAGCATTGTTCCAAAGTTTGAAACAATATGGAGTTGAAGTGACAGGATGGAGCCTTATATAGCGCCAGGAGGTGAGACGTAGGTCACTAGTAGAACGCAGATGTTGGGAGGTCAGGTCCCTCTCAAATCCAGCCATTCTCACTAGTAGAGGTAGTTGAAGTTGATTTCAGGTCTGTACCAAGATACCCTTGTGTTGCAGTGTCTGACAGATTGAACATTAAAATGGTATAAAATACCGACAGATTGTTAGGGAAGACACATATGCAACAGTTAGGTATCTTTATATCTCTCTCCTTCTCGGGCATTATCTATTCCGGATATTGCCTTTCTTGCTTCGTCATTACCACCACCGATTCTGTTACTTGGTGATTTTAATGCCCACCATTTCCTCTGGGGGGGGGGTCTCACTGTGATTCCCGTGGCATTCAGTTAGAGGCTTTTCTTGCCACCCACCCCCTCCATGTTTTAAATACAGGTATTCACACCCATTTTGATCCTCGGACTCACACTCTTGCATCGATCTCTCAGTCTGCTCTTCCTCCGCCGCATTAGACTTCACTTGGTCTGTTCTTCCGGACTTACATGACAGCGATCATTTCCCAATCATTCTTACTTCCCCTTCATATTCACCACCTCTTCGCATCCCACGCTGGCAATTTGATCAGGCAAATTGGAACCTTTACTCACACCTAACTGTTTTTAGAGGGGTTCCTTCTTCGTCCTCCATCGATGAGCTTTTACACCTCTTCTCATCCTCCGTTTTAACCACAGCTTCTCATTCTATACCCCAAACTTCGGGCAGGCATTCTCAGAAATGCGTGCCTTGGTGGTCTCCTGCTTGTGCTCGTGCAGTACGTTTGAAACGTGCTGCATGGGGCAGGTACCGGTACAATAGAACCACAGAGAGATTTCTTGATTTTAAGCAGAAGCGTGCGATCGCTCGCCGTGTCATCCGTGACGCTAAACGCACTTGCTGGCGAGATTATGTCTCCACCATCACCTCTGCTTCCTCTATGAGTGCAGTCTGGAAAAAAGTACGAAAACTGAGTGGTAAATATTCTCCTGACCCGGCTCCTGTTCTGCGGGTTGCCTGTGTTGATATAGCAAACTCTAGATGTTGCCAATGAAATTGGCAATCATCTGGTCTGTATTTCTCAGGGACTCCATCTATGCCCCTCATTTCTTTCCTCAAAGTCTGCCAGAGAGTTAGCACCCTTGGACTTTTCTTCTCTCAGAGAAGAACAGTATAATGTGCCTTTTACACTTCAAGAACTGGAGGCAACACTCTCAGCTTGCTGATCATCGGCAGCTGGGCCCGACGACATTCATATTCATATGCTTCAACATTTACATCAGTCAGCCCTTGCAGTCCTATTACGCCTTTACAATCTTATGTGGTCACAAGGAGTTCTTCCACAGCTGTGGAAATCCGCCATTGTTCTCCCTTTCCGCAAACCAGGCACTACGGGACATGAAACCTCCCACTATCGTCCCATTGCTCTTACTAGTGCAGTTTGCAAAGTGATGGAACGCCTAGTAAATAGACGTTTAGTGTGGTATTTAGAGACACACAACAGTCTCTCCACTCGTCAATATGGCTTTCGTAAGGGACGTTCTACCATAGACTCCTGACTACGCTTGGATACGTATGTTCGTAATGCCTTTGCGAATAACCACTCAGTTATTGCCATATTTTTTGACCTTGAGAAGGCATATGACACAACTTGGAGGTATAATATTTTAGCCCAAGCCCACTCCTTAGGCCTTCGAGGCAATCTACCATCCTTCCTTAAGAACTTTTTAACTGACAGGCATTTCCGTGTTCGGGTTAATAATGTGCTCTCCCGGACTTTATCCAAGCTGAAGGTGTCCCCCAGGGATGTGTTCTGAGCACAACACTTTTTCTCCTTGCTATTAATGATTTGGCCTCTAGTCTTCCATCAAATATTTGGTCATCACTCTATGTTGACGACTTCGCTATTGCCTGTGCAGGCGCTGACTGTCACCTTATTACAGTTTCTCTCCAGCATGCAGTCGACCGTGTTTCCAATTGGGCCACCACACGTGGGTTTAAATTTTCCAGCACTAAAACCCACCAAATTACTTTCACTAGACGCTCTGTCATCTCCGATCATCCTTTGTACCTCTATGGCTCCAGTATCCCTGAACGTGATACAGTCAAGTCTCTGAGCCTCCTCTTTGATCGTAGGTTATCCTGGAAACCTCACATTGGCTCTCTGAAGGCAACTTGTCACAGCCGGCTGAACCTTCTTAAAACCCTTGCTCATCTTTCATGGGGAGCTGATCGTCGAACCCTCCTTCGCCTACAT